GAGAGAGAGAGAGAGAGAGAGAGAGAGACAGAGACAGAGACAGACAGACAGACAGACAGACAGACAGACAGAGACAGAGAGAGGATAGTTATTTGGAGATAAATTTTGTTTTCCCAGTGCATAACCACACCAAGGCCTTCCAGAACTATTTTAGGGAATTTTTCCTTTGATGTACCTGGGACCAATTTGTTTGTAGATGTATATTTAAACACCATACTGCCAACTGCCAACCTATCTTCATCATGGCAATAAGAAAAAAGTGTAAATTGAACATCTTCATCCTATCACACTCTTGGTTTGGTGCCTTAAATAACCCAGTATTCCTTAGAGAATTGCCAGCTGCTCCTGGAGGTCCTGGATGAAGGCTAGAACAATGATTATTGGTTGTGATGGGCCATGTAGGATATCAAATACTTTAATTGTTATGCCCTTGGAGTCAGTGATATCTTCCTAGGAATGGTTACTTCAAAATTCCAGGGACTGTTTCATGAAATTCACCATAATCTCCTCCTCAGAATAATAAGAGTGAATGCTCAAGTCAAAATTTACACTGGCATTACATTTGAATCATCAGTAATAAATAAGGTCAAACATCAGTACCATTATATTTGATCACACCCAGAGAAATCCATTTGAAGTGGAAATAGACTTGGCTGTTTATATGTATTTCCCAGATAGTTTTTTTGTAGTTATCTTACTTGAATGGTTACTAAGCTGAGAATCAGTAAGTAAACGGAAACCCTGGCCTCGTCTTTCCCTACAATGTATTTATAATCCATTCATGGTAACATCAAAGCACAGGGTGGGGCATAAGAGCACATAAAGGAAAGAACAAAATGCACTTCACTTTTGTTGAGTTTTCTAAAACTATAATAGCAAACTTATAAGAAATCTCAGAAAGGAATAGTACTTCCTGTAACATACAGTAAAATAATGTCCATTGCCCTAGGAATGATATTATGAAGATCAAGAAGGCTCCAAACAGAAAAAAGTTAGTAAGAAGTTAATGCTGCTCGACCTGATGTGATTTTAGCACAGTGTGTGAGTGTGTGATTTTATAAGAGTGTACCCCTTAATCTACAAACACCATTTCTTAACTAGAAGTTTGAAATAGTACAAAAAGACTTCTCATGGAACACGAAATACAGAGAAGCTATAGGAATAATTTGAATAATCAATATCAAGAACAAAACAAGTATACAATCATAAAAGGAACATAGAGTCCTTGATTTTATCTTCTCTCTTATGGCTAAACATAGATAAAAATCAAACAAAATTACACTTGCTTGTTAACATAGATAGAATGTTTTAAAAGCATCAGTGGCTTGACGATGGATGAAATTACCACAGGTATTTAATACTTAAACCTACCTCAGGATTGAAAACAGAAGGGCTGTGTATTTTTACAGGTACCATCTGGACTCAACATATCCTCAGTTTGATTTATTTTGATGGCCACCGGAACAGCACTGAAAACATCGATACAATGGACAGAGCACCATTCTTTGAGTACAATATTCATAATATAGACTTTGTCAAAATGCCTTCACCTCGAATCTTCACTTCCCACCTTCCATATTACTTAGTACCAAATGGTCTGAAGAAGAAAAAGACTAAAGTATGTCATAGAGCTTTTTGAACAGATAAAATAATTAAGTATTGAATGATGAAATTACCTCAGTCTTTGTGTGATGATGGCACACCTCTCTGAGCCTTCTTGAGTATGTCTCCTGGGCTTTTCCACCAGCTTCCCTAGAATCCTCATCTGTGAATAGAACTGCAGAGTCACAAATACCAGGGTAGTCAAGTTATAGAGGAAGTCAACTATTTCTGAAGAAAGTGGATATCAGTTACTGCTGAAACCAGCAAGGGACCAATTCTTATTTCTCCTCTAGTAACTTGACACATCTGACTTCAATGTTTGCCAATGTGGCAGCTATTGAATGATCACTCACAATAGTCTTAATTTGCATGTGTGTATGCAATAATGAGATTAAACATGTTTGATATTTATTGGCTATGACCAATTATAATTCTGTGAAAAGATTATGCCATTGGTCCAGCTTTTCCTTGCTATAATTTTAGCATAATTTTCCTCCTGATGTGAATTCTGTCACTTCTGCATACAGTTCTTATAGGGTGGCCTTTCTCATGTTTTGGAACTTTGTGGTTTATTTGGTTAGTAACATTCTTAATTTTAGTATAATCAAACATACTGACTTTTTGCAATATAAATTTATTATTTACTTATTTTCATTTTATTGTATAATTGTTTAAAACAATTTTAAATTTAAATATATTTTAAACATGTACTTCTCCCCACCCCAGTCCTTCCAGATCCTCTTCCCAAACCCTACCCACCCAACTTTGATTTCTTTCTCAAAAACAAACAAAAACCTAATACAGCAACAATACTTCATTTAAAAAATACTTCCTTGTTTCAAGACAAGAAATGTATTTGGTTTTGGCCTAATAGCCTTAATAAACTTGATAGATATTATTCACAAGAGTAGAGAGAAATCGCTTTTAAAATTACATGTGTGTGCTGTTAACGCTTATGCCAACATATATTTTCCACTTATTTCAAGCGCTACCTTGGCTATATGTAAACTATCTCAGAAAACTCAATGGCTATATATAAGCTATCCCAGAAAACTCAATGACTATCAATTGCTATAGCATTAAGCCATATGGAAAACATGTTTACCATATTTATCAAATTTACAAATAATATATTTTTATAACATTGACCTGTGTTCTTGTATATGTATGAAATACTATGTAAATGGAAGTATTGGCTTTCATGGCACGTAACAAAAAGTTGATAACCAACTACCTAGATGAAAATAAAGATTTATCTGGACAAATACTACTATATAAGTTCAGAACTTATTCTAATAAATTCAGAACAAATTAGAATGACCAAGAATTGCTAAAACAACTGTGTTTTTTCTGCAGATTCTTTATATTTACAGAAATCCCAAAGATGTTTTGATCTCATTTTTTCATTTTTCAAATTGGTTGGTTACCTTAGAAGCTACAGATACCATCGAACATTATCTGGAAAAATTTCTAGATGGAAAAGGTAACTACATTTATTCCATCTCATTTTTTTTATAAAGTACAGATGATATTTAAGCCATTTCAAAGTAGGGAATATATATCTAAGTGATGGAGGAGGCAGGGGCTGCATAGAAAGAGTAACAGAGTAACAATATAATCTGATACACAGTGATATTCTCCTTCCATTGGTGGGACCATTTGAGGATTCCCGACTTGCAGTCCTATATTAGACAGGAAGGGCTTTGGCTAGACATTAAGAGATTTATATGTATTTTATCAGTTCTTTCTAGCTAATGACATAGGAAGAGACATAGCTAAAGTTGAGGGCGAATATGTGCTCTTAATGGCACACACTTGTTGGGAAAATGAAATTACTCATGCTACTACTGAAGAAAACCATTAATGAAAGAGGCTGTGGGGTGTTAATCAGGATCTCACACATTGTTAATATTATACTCAGGTTCTGTCATTGTAGCAAGAAAACACTGCTGTTCAGAAATGGGATATGAGAAATGTCTTCAGAGACAGGAGAAATATGAACATCTCTTAAGGATACCTTTGAATTCAGACACTTGGACTTTATTAAAAGACTTTAGATTGATTTATTTTGTTTTATGAGTGTTTTTCCTGGATGTATGTATGTGCACAACATGTGTGCAGTGATGGCAGAGGTCAGAAGAGGGCATCAGATTCCCTGGAACTGAAGTTACAGATGGTTTCTGAGCCACCATGTGGCTGCAGAGAACTACACTCACGCCCTCAGCAAGAGCGACCAGAGCTTTAACCACTGAGCAGTCTCTCCAGTCCCTGCCACTAAAATTTCTCAGTGTCTGTCTTGCAACATCCCCAAATATGTAGGTTGGTATGAGCCTTGTGTAATTGTTACACAAAAATAACTCCTTTAAAATAGTCATGCAGACATCCAATTGTAGGGGCTCCATTTTAATTTCTGAATAGTCTAAACCAGAAAAGTAAGAACAGGGCTTGCTATTCAATAAATATAGTGCCTTGACTTTGTTACTCAGTTATTTCCCCTTCAGTTGTAGGAAGCTGTTGGTTTGATCACATTAGAGGCTGGTATGAACATAGACATGACTTCAACATAATGTTCCTGAGCTATGAAGATATGAAGAAGGTAAGATGAGAAAGTTGTTTTAGAAAATTATTTCTCATCTCTGAGTTTAATCCACACACTCCCAATTGTCCTCATGACTCACTCCTCCTTGGGCTTCGTGTTGAAGGAGGCTCCTGACATCCAGCCTCTCCTTTGTTGACTGGTCTGCCTCAGGGCTCTCTTTCTCACTGTGGTCCTCTCTTGGGATTCCTTCTTGTGTAGCCACCCGTGTCAATATAGACAACCTTATGTATCTAGAATAGACTTATCTTTTAAAGATGTTTTCAACCCTATTTAATTATTTGCATTAGTAGACTCGGCAGGGTGTGGCCATCTATGAACACAACATGCATTGGTATTATCCAGAGTTCCTACACTCTCAATCTTTCTTTCGCCAGGACTCTTCCCAATTCCTAATAATCACGGTTCAACTTTTAGAATAGCCATTTTATTTTTTCTTCATGGGAGAGAGATGTGATTCCTATTTCTCTGCATAGGTGGGTTTCACTAAACCTGGTGTATTGTATGGGCCACATATGTTCCTTTCACATAAAAGAAAGGTAAAGAAAAGAAAGCAGGGTGAGCATGGCATGAGGAGCAAATCAGTAAGGAGCATCCCTCCCTGGTTCTGCTTCAGTTTCTGCCCTCTCCTGATGAGGGACTGTCACCTCCAAGGTAAAACAATCCCTTTTCTTCCCACATTGTTTTGGGCAGTGTTTTATCACACCAGAAATCAAACAAATACAGATAGAATGTTCTGTAAATAGTTGTTATGTCTTTTTAAACAATGATGTAATTTACCTGACTTTTCTATGTTGATTTTTAATTTAGATGGCCTATCTAGGATTGAAAATGAGGCATTGAACCCAGCCACTAATATTTTCTCAGGGTCTATCTGAACTTTATTTATTTATTATTATTAGTTCTAGTTAGGGAACAAACTTGTTTCAAGTCCCTTCTCACTCTCCCTCCCCTCAAAGTGCAGAGGCCTCCTTATTGACATCCATGGCCTCCTCGACAGCATCTGGGGTCCATGTGCTCTCCCTTGTTCAGGCCAACTGTTCCTGTGGACCTCTCCACCCTGGTACAGACTCCTTCATTCTTCCTTC